GAGTCCTGCCAAAGTCAGTTTGGTTTGGTGCACTGAGATGTGGATAAACAAATGTTTGTCACGCTGCCCTCTCATCCGGTGCGTTGGACCTCAGTCAGAAAAATCATTTGCTGACAAGAAGTTGAATCAGCTGGCAATCGCTGCACTGGGAAGGGAGGGGAAGAAAGAACAGAGTTTAATTAACAAAGAAAATTCACAGCAGGGGAGCATGGATAATTGTTTAATGTCATCCTTAAAAGCAGAGATGTAGCAGAAGAAACTCGTGCAGGCAAAGTGCTCCTCCTAGGCTCAGTCCTCCAATGAGCTAAGTGTTCCTAGTTAAAAAGCACACTTAGTTTAGGAGTCAGCCATACTGCAGATGTTAATGCAGTCCTTAAAGGTGGGTGACGTGCCAAGAGCTGTGCCCCTAAGACCAGAGCTCTCCCCATCTTGTGGGATCTAATTTAATGAATTTAATTTATTTAAAAATATCTAATTTAATTCAATTTAAACCCTGGTTCTTCACAGACTGAAACAGATTCAGTATACCTGCCTCTTTTGGCCCTGTGCTGAAGGTATGTATCTGAGAGAGTAATTATTCTTATTCCCACGCAGTCATTTAATTAATATAGCAAATTTTGGAAGATTAAATAGTCTTCTTTCAGTTGAATTATAGGTACAATTTTGTAAATACTTGAGAGTAGAATATACATTTGGGGAAAAAAAAAAATAATTGAAAGCGTAAGTGTAATGAATTTTGGAAAGCTGAGTCCTTGTATTTTATTTTGCCACTATAGGCCTCTTGGATAGACTGTGCTTTAGAGCCATGAGCAGAGCATGTGTACGTACATGTATTTGTATGGAGGAGGATAAGAAGGTTCTACACAGCCATGGCAGTCCTGCTCTTCAGCTTACCTCCACATAATGAAGTCTGAACACAGTATGCTTTTCTTAGAAGTCGTTTAGTAATCTAGCATTTATCCCTAGAAGATATTTCACTTGATCCTTTATGCTGTTTTCTTACAGAAGGTACCAAGTACACACTTGTTTTGGAGGCTTTACTTTGAGATTAGCTGGCTTGTCTTTTTTAGTCTCTATTTGAAGTACAGGTGATGCCCAGTGTTATGTGGTGTTGCACAAGACAAACTTTAGAAAGACAGACGAGAGAAATGTTCTGTTTTAATTTTATGCTAATAATTTAATTCAGTTAATCTAGATTTGGCATTGCTGATGAGGAAGTTGCTTGGTTAGACAGTGGTTGTCTTAAGACATGTAACATTTTTTTTAATTTGTTGTTGTTTTTTCTCCTCCACCATTACTGTCTGTCTTAAGAAGGAAAATATCAGTGTTTCTGTGTGGACATTGTGTGAAAGACGGAGGCAAACTAGAATTCAGTTCCTCTGCTGTCCCTGGAGGTGTCTTTAATAGTTAAGCAACTACTTCCTTTCCTGAATTTGTGAGTTTTTAAGTGGCCTTCCTGTCATCTGACTAATAAAGACAGTAGTAACTTAAGGAAATTTGACTTGCTCTAATTGTTGAAAATAGAAGGAAATGGGAAAGGTTCTCAAGTATATACTGTAGCAGTTTCTAAATCTCTCTGCTCTGCCAAAGCTGTTTAATACATCCAGGAACGGATCCAAAGCTTAAATCTGGATGAGCAAAAAAGAAATGCCTCAAAAGCAAGTTTGCCATGCAAAGACAGGCTGCTTATGCTCTTTTTCCTCTCTGTAAGAATGTGTACCTGTAAAAGACAGGTCACTCAGGTTTGGTTTTTTTTTTTTTTTTTTTTTTTGGTTGTGGGTTGTTTTGTTGTTGTTTTTGGTTTTTTGTTTGTTAGATTAAGTATGAGTAGTAGCTATTGTGCTTCTTGGAATCCTGTCATTTCAAGTTGTAATTTTGAATTTAAAGAATATGTCAGCAATTGCTGTTAGTGAACTGAAATCTAATGTAGCAACTTTTGTACCGGTGGACTTTGGCATGTGAGGTGGATACTAGTGGAAAAATATGAAGGACAAATATTTGGAAAAGTATGGTGGAAGGCATGTGAGCTCCTAGGTGTGAAGCACTTCCATCATTAATCTGAAGAAGTAGTCAGCTTTTTGTTGGTTTTTGTGTTCTGATGCTATTTTCTGTGCAGTTTGACAACTGGACAGTCAGAATGTTTTAAGGATTTGAAATAAAGCAGAAGATTGTTTGTAAGGAGGGGTGGGGGTGGTTTTGCAACAAATTTCTTAAAACACCATGGTTGTGTAGCTCATGAGTAAGCAGGGTGTTACAGTACCTTTGTTTACAGAAACTAGCTTCTGCCTTTTTCCTTGACATTTTGCTGTATCTGAATTCCTATTGGGGAAAACATCTTGAATGTTTTCACTTATGTGAGGGTACATCCTACAGAGTGGGGAAAAGCTGTCTTGATGCATTTTTCAGGTACTACTGAGGTATTCCTAGTTTGATAAAGCAGAATATGTCAAGTACCATGCTACTTCAGCCTGAATTGAATGCATGGATGTGAATTAGTTCAGTGTGTAAAGATGAATTTTAACATTGTGAAAGCTATGTGGAGTCATCTGGTTATTGTTTCTGATGCTTACTAATACTGCTTCTGATGACAAAGGTGGCATGTGTTACAGATACTGGTCTCATGTCCTGTGTACTTTAAAAACAAACCAAAACCAAACATACCCACAGCCTTGGAAACCAAACAAATGGTAATAGATTTTCTTTTTAATTTTTATTAGAAGTGAGGAATTATGAATGAGTCAGATAATTCTTCCCCTCTTCACAATCGTACGTTTTCTTGTGATAACGTGCCATGCATACCAGATCTTGCATTTACAAATCTGAGCTAACAGTTTAAGAACATTGCTAGGGAGAGTCATATGTCTCCATTGATGAAGTCAGCTTCACAGAAGTTTTCTATCTATTCCAGGGAGCAGAATTTAACTCTTTTGAGTCCTGACTTTGTCGTCTTTTCCTATGTTAAAAGCCAGAGAGGATCAGTGCTTTGTGAAGATAACAGCAAGATCAGCTAAGATGATGAGATTTTGAGTGTTTTCTTACTCTAGTCTTAAAAGTAAATGAAAGCAGCTAACAATCAGTAAAAGTCTGTTTAGGTATGGGACTACTATGAAATTTTTTAGAGGAAATTTTGTCTTAAATTGCTGAGTATAATTGTGTCACTTCTTGGCACGAGATTTTATTGTGCTTGTCCCACGCAGTTTTGATAGAATCTCAGTACATGTTCTGTCATAAAGATGTCCTACTTTAACACATTGATCTACTTATTTCATTTTCCCTTATGATTCTAATTCTTTTGGTCTAGACTACAAGAAATAGTCCAAATCATACGAGTTTAGAATATGGAAAGAGGTTGATTTTAATTAATGCAGAAATTATTTGGCTTTCTGTAAGATTTAATGAAATAGGAACACAGCTTAAATTGTTATGTGAAAATGTTTTAAATGGAAGCAAAAATGCACAGCAGAATTTTTTTATTTCTGAAGCCTGTGTGTCAGTGACATGCTTGTCATATTTTTTATTTTAAAATTGGAACAAAAAACTAACATCCTGTACAATCCACTAGAATTATTTGTAACCAGTACATTTTGATCATTTCTCCCAGTGATTTGTCAGGTTAATCAGTCTGCTTCAAGATTCAGTTTTTTTTTTTACTGGTATTTATTTTCTGCAGTGTCTGCTAATAAAACTGGAGGATTTGCTTGGAGGGATTTTCCTTACATTGAAATACTTGTTTAAGTTTGCCTTTGCCTAGATGTCATTCCTTGTATCAAATGTAAGAGTCTCATTTTTTTTGGTCAAGATAAATAAACACACCCCATTAAAGTTGGGTTCCATATCACTTTTACTAGTTGAAGATTGGGCCCTCAGTGTGTTTGCTTTTTAAAATTTACTTTGCAGTTATTGCTTGTGTTGTTAGTAAACTTATTTTATCACATCTTGCCTTTTCTTCATCTAACACCATGGTAGTTACAGCTGTCATGTCCTCTCCTACTAAGAAGCAGAGGAGATGAGTGAAAACTAGGGATTCTTTCTTATTTTCAAACCTGTCCTTTCTTTAATCTGTTTCAAAGGTACATCCATGCATTTAATCTCATGCTGCTTCTCAGTTTTTATTTCTTAATTTGAAAGAGACTGGAAGAAACAAATGTTGAAACATAAGAAGGAGGACTATAGGCAGCTCCTTAAAGTATTAAAACTGTCTTGGAGCTTGGCTGTTGTCAAGACAGGTCTTGCATCCTTGCTGGTGCTGAAAATGGAACGGATTTCAAATCGCTTTTGCACATAATCACCTCCTGTTTTTACTGCAGCATGCTTATCCTGTTTGTGAGAGATGGTGGAGCTGTTTAGTTTTTAAGGTTTTGAAGTAGGACTTCTAGTTCTTCTGGTAAGTAAAATCTAGCATACTTCTAAAATAACTAAAGTAAAAGGTGTTTCTGTCTATTGATCTATTAATACGTGAAAAAACTTGCTGTCATCTGTAACAGCAGATAGCTTTGTAAGTCTTTGCTTTTAAGGTCAGATACTGAAAGTTGCAAATAGATGCAAGCAAAATTTATTTACCAGTGGAATTAAATTTCTAAGTCTGAAGGAAGTTTGAGGAGAAGAATACGAATCAGTTACATAATGAAATAGGAGCTGGTACATGTAAAAAAGATAAGAAACCAAAACAAATTCTGACTGTTGTCACGGGTATCACTCAAAATCTTCATAATATAGAGATGGAACCCTGTATTTTCAGTGTACCTGAAATAACTACTGTATTAGTTCAGTAGTTTGCTGAACTTGTGTTTACCAAAATGATGTCCTACTCAGTGCACAGTGCAATGTTAATTTACCAATTGTACTTTTCCTATGAGAATTTTAAGCATGTGTGTGTTTTTAGGTGTGTGTTTTCTCTAATTCAGCATGTTTGGCATCTACACTATCAAGAAAATGAATGGCTAGCTTTGTGGGGAGGAGAAGAATAAAAAGTAATATGGTCTTTATTTTTCTAATTCTAGGGTCTACTTACAGTGTGCTGTCCATAATGCCTTCTGATTCTGAAAGCAGCAGTTCTCTGAGCAGCATTGGTGAGTAAAGTATTAATCTAATTGCTTGATGAACATGTCTTTTGGGAGCTGGGAGAACAAGTTTTTAAGGTTGCCTTTGGGAAGGATAGAGGGATTCCAGTCATAAAATCAAAGAAGTTGAACTATATGATGTAACCATGCATCTTCAACAGGAAAAGGTGTACCTGTTTTGTGTAGTTCAAGGTAAGCCTTTCCAGGTCTGTATGTAGTAGTTGCCAATGGAATTGGTTACATTTGGATACATTAAATGATGAAATTATGCTTTGAGTTATTTAACAAAATGATGTAAAAATGGCAATGTTAGGCTTATACAAGTCTGTGCGTATAAAAATAAATATAGGCATGCATATATGTGTATGTATATTTTTATGTAGATGTTAAAATAGTAGTTGGAGTCAAAACCATCATATAAATTAGAAATATTCTTATCAAAGGTCATAGCCTTTTAAATTTTTGGAAGTGACTGAAGCTTTAATGCTTTTTTTTTCCTGCATGCAATTGCTTCATTTTCTCTGTTTTTCAAGTCACTGGGAAAGACAAAATATTCAAAAAAAAAAAAAAAAAAAGTATAGGTAAAGGAAATGTGGGCAAAACACCTCTAACAACAAGATGATCGTGGAATAGCTGTATTAGCTGTCAATTTTTCTCTACTTATACAAGTAACTTCTATTGTGAAATCCATGTCAAAGTCATTTGCCTTGGATAGGGAATGTAGGCTTTTGCATATTTAAAGTTCCACTGTGTATCACGCATCTGTAGACTTCCCTGACAGCACCAGGCAAGTCAACTGTCTGTTTAAGGATGTGGGTAGACATCTGTTGCCATCATTGAGTTGAACTTTTAACTCCAGCATGCAGGAACAAGATTATAGTCTTGACTGAACTATTTGCTGAAAATACAGGAAGCTGTGACATGTTAGTTTGGTTTTTATCAAGATCACACTTGCATGCTCTTACCTGAAGGAAGGGTATGATGAATAAATTTGGGCTGGAAATAGGAAGAACAAAGTTCCTAAGTTTTTAAGATAACCAGACTCAGAAAGGAGCCTTCCAAAGAAGGAAGTTCTTCTCAGGTGAAATCTAGTAAGTTTGTGAAATAATTGGATGAAGTGGTGCCTGAGATACAAGATGTAGGTGGTCCTTTCTAGTTCCATGTTCCTGATTTTGAAAAGGAAAGGTATACTTAATTTTTTTTTTTTTTCCATTTTTTATAACTGAGTGCATTGTATCTGGCCTGTTGTAATTTTGGAAGTAAAGGTAGGTAGCTGAACAGCTACTTTTTACCATCAAGAAGAGAATTTTTGCTTTAACAGTGACCACTTGCAAGCTACAGGTACATGGCCTCTATCTTATTAACTTTCTGTGGCATAGTACCTTATACGAGTGAGGGATTCCTGTTTCTGAACACTTATTTACAATTTAGCATGTTAATTCTGAGATGTCCATTATTTTCATATACGACTCAGTACTGAATCTGAACTATGTTCTGTTCATGTTTTAAGATACTGAAGTTCATACTGAACCCTGATCTGTGTATTTTACATAAAGGGCTGTCCTTGGAAGTCTTTTACACCTTTGTTGTGTGCAGTGATCAAAGGTATTTGTAACCTAAAAATTAAGTGACCCACTATTAAACAAAACTTGTGATCTAGTATTCTCTGTAGTTTCTTATTAAAAATATTAAGTTGAGTTAGATATTTAATTTTTAATACATTAACAGCTACGGGAATTCTTTGTTTGAAGCTGGCATATTTGTTTTAAAGTCTGCTTATAGACTTGTTATAAATGAGTATCATTTTTTCCCCCCAACCTTTTCTTCTCCTCATCTTATTCTGCAAGAGATAATATTTTAATGTAATCTAATATCAATAACAAAGTTTCTCTGCTTAATAACCAACATATCCTGGTAGACATGTTTGCAAGTCACTTCAAAGCTGCAGTCAGATTATTTTAATACTGACTGATTTGTTGAATGACAAACCATCATAACTGAAAATGTTTGCATGCCAGCTCCCCGAAGGCACTTTGTATGACTTCTTTGAATGGAATCCCAACAAATACTGAGTTGCTATGGCATTTCAGTATTTTCACATACATCTTCCCCCCCCATTCCGTTCCCATCTCACTGGAATACATTTTCACAAGGGTAATTCTGTGTAGTGGAAATAAGTTTAGCCTGTGAAATGAATGCATCAGTGAAAAAAGGTAAATAGCTCATGGCTTGGAGACAATGTAAGCTTTGGAATATGGTCAGTTTGACACTGATAGTCATATCTACTTGCATGTGTACATAAAGGAATATTTTCGTTTCCCCACTCATGTGGACCTTCCTCATGGGGCAGAAAAGGGATCTATTTTATTATTCTAGAGTTCAAAGCAGTGGTTTTCATTAATATTTAACATTTTTATTTCTGGTTTATCTTCTGTTCGTTGAGCAACTCAGAAACACATTAACACATTTGACTTTTCAGAAGAAATGAGAAAGGTATTGGGGTCACTAGTTAAGTCCAGATAAAGAAGCAGAGAGTGAATCTTAGCATCTTCTAATTAGGAGAGATAATACAATCTTTCGTTTGTAGTCTTTGGACTCCCTGGTTTATAACAGTAACTACAGAAGGGTATGTGTATATGCTTCACCTTTTCTTCCCAATCTTAATCACTGTAGCTGTTGTTGGAGGTGGTTTCTGCTGCCAGCATTCCTTAATTAAGTGATCTTTTCCTGAAATACTTCCAAGCCAGGATGTTGTGAAATTGAGATGATTCTGTATGTTTTAACAGCTCAGGATTTCTGAGTTAATTTATGAAGCCAGTGTATATAACAACAGGTTTATTTTCCTGAAAAAGACCCTGATCTAAGAACTAAGCTTAAATAGTACCAAGATGACTGTTTTTAAAAGGTAGTTCTAAGAAAACATGGGCTCAGTCTCCATCAAATAAATAAAACATGGTGTTAGGATTTGGAAAGAAAGAGGGAAAGATGAGAGAACATAATTTTATCACTATATGAACCTGTCGTGTGCCTGAGTCTTGGGCGTATTTGCAGTTCTGATTCTCCCATTGGAAGAGAAGAGCTCAGCAAACATGGAGAGCAGTAGCAGGGATGAGCAGTTATGGAGCAGCTTCTGTACAGGGAATGACTGGATATGCTGGGGTTCTCTCAGCCTTCAATAATGTCATAGCCCTAATATAAGAAGAGAGCAAGGAGTGATATAACTTGCATAATGTGTCTCAGAAGAGTTTAGGGTAGTCGATCCAGAGTACTGTGGCATCCAAGCCTTTTTTTCCCCCCTTTCTTTGCCTAGATGGGCTTGCAGGGTGTGAGGGATGCAACAAGAATGACCTTCCGGCCTCGTGTGTGTGGTAGAATAAGCAGTTGAGTGGAACCCAGTTTTCCCACCTGTGTAGCAGCCAGGGTAGCAGCCTTGGAGAAGAAACTCCTCTTTGTAGGTTTATTTGCCTTGACCATAGGTGTACCCATCTTTTTACTTTTGTATATGTATGTACATAAAAATACAGAGCGTGACAGGTCTTTGCTCTTCAGAGGCTTTTATTGTATATTTTCCTCACCATTCACAATTGGTTTGAATGATAGTATTTTCGTTTTTCCTTTATGCACCCTTCCTTTTCTTTCCTGTGTATTAATAAAGTTTGTGCTGTGCATGTAAAATAGGTAGTTTTGATGGTACTGAGGGCAAATATTCACTGTTAATTTCCAAAAGAGGTACAATATAAACTGCTGTAATCCCTGCATCCCACCATTGTACTTCAGCCCCACCTTCTTCCCCCCAAAGGAACAAAACCTCAGTAAATTGTCATGTTCTCTCTGTATATCCCTTTTCTTTGCTCTTGGCTAACAACAAAGATTTTTGTGTGTAAATAGAAGCATCCTTCATCTGCCCACTCCCCATGCCCAGCAGACTTTCTGAATGGAGCTACGATCCTGGGTCTCTGACATCAGAATAATTATTTATGGAGATTCAGTGCCTGGCGTGCCAAGCACAGAACGACAGTGTCACTTAGGAATTGGGTGGAAACCAGTGACACAGCTATACGTGACAGTCACTGGCTAGTGTCCCACTTGACCAGTCATGATAATGGGAAGGAAAAGAACACAGAATAAGGACCCCCTTCAAAAAAATTTAGAAAAGGTAAAAAGAGAAAAAAAAAAGTGCCCATTTGTATAGTGCATTCAGTCATTTGACATGGATAATTTTGAAGATAAATGCTCACCAAGCACTGAATTGAACTTAGATTACAGTCCTGGAAACTGGCTCTGGGTGGCCCTGCTTGAACAGGAGGGTTAGACCAGATGTTCTTTCTCTATCGCAGTAGATAATTTTCTAGACCTGTAAGGAAAGATTGAAGGCCTTTGTTCTGAAAGATTATCTGTAGAAGATATAATGCTAGTCAGATATCACCCTATTTATACAATACTTCAGCCTGAAATCATCAAACTGTTGTGTTATGGGAAGCAGCAACACAGTGTCCTTGTTAGTTTCTGTGCCTTTCTACTTCCAATTTGCGTATTTTTAACTTTTTACTTTCCTTGCTCTTTTCTTCCAAATTCAGGCTCCTTTCTTTCTTTTTACAATAGCCAGGTCAGTTATTGTTCTGTCCCATGTTGCCTAAAAAAATCCATTGTGAATTGATTCCCAGAGTATGTTTCAAGACTTTTGATGCCCAATACTACATTTACAGCCTCCAGGAGCATACTACTGACCTAAGCAATACGATGCCATGTGACAGTATTAAAGTTTCTGGAATCAAGCCATTTTTTACCTACCCTAATGCCATAATGAAACTTTGGAGTTTTCGTTTAGTTATTTAAAAATATGATTCTTCCTCCCCTCCTCAATGTACAGTACTTTTTTTTTTTTTTTTTTTTTTTCCCATTCTTTCTTTTAATCAATATTTTTTTAAAAGAAATGTTTAATAGAAACCAGGAGCTTGCATGCAGAAGTCTGGCAATGACTCTGAGGATAGCCTCCATTATGCCTTTTT